GATGGCGCCCTCTGGATAACCTGGACACAATGTACAACGACGGTATATAGCACATATATTATTAAAATAGAAATCCGAACAAAAAGACCCATCGACAGCTAAATTTGGATGCTCGATAAACTAGGCTGCCATGATAATATTATCGCTTTCGGCGATTTGCGGCCACGGGTGACACTGTACGAGGGTAGTTACGTGGACGAAGGTTGGCGTCTTGTCAGTGGAGAAGGCAAGGCAGAAATATTGGCTATTCCAGTTGAACACCCCTATGTAAAAATGGTATATGCTATACTACCTCTTGAATAACTCTCCAACCTCCAGCTTTCTTCTCTTCACCTGCGTCACGGCTACTAAATAGCGTGCCTGCGTGCAACAATCAATCCCCCCAGTCACTCCTCCTTCCATTTTGATCCATCATCAAAGAACCATGGCTTTCAAAATCAAAAATATTGAGAATTTTATACTAGCCGTCGATACACGAGCAGACAAAGACGCCGACACCAACGTCACATAAATCAAATGCAACAAAGACCGGGACTTCTTCATCCTTAGGGTTAAAGGTGTCAAGCGTAACATCGTCGAGCAGAAATTCAAGCCGGGCGTGCCATTTACCGAGAGCTTCGCGTTATTCGGAAAGAAGAGACAGGCAGTGGCTACCATGGAAGGTAACAGGGGCTTGTCCCCCAGTATAGGACACTCCGCCCTGAGGACACTCCTCGGCCCCGATGGCGCTAAAGATTATCTGAATTTTAGGCAGTGTTACATATTAAACTTTTAAAAACTCAAACAAACTGAATACATTATATTGTCGACATGATCGCAGCCACGATCAAATCACGTAAATATTAACCATTTTCTTGGTTGGGCACGTTTCTAGGATTTTCTCTGTACGTCAGTGACCATCACATCCACTGACCACGATAGAACGGCAAAGACCATCTTAGCTCAGTATCAAGCAAATATAAATGGGAAATATGCAGCTGGAGGCCCTTGAAAGGATTAAACTGTCCCCTTTTCCAACTGCCTTGTTGTGCAATTAGGGCGATATCGTCACAACAATGTTGTTCTGTTACGGGTCTCGAATCAACTTGGAGACTCCTCCAGTAAAACGAGTAGAAATACACACAGATCCACAGAATTCTGAACGCTTAACACTGGCGGTGTCATTTTTAAAATAAACACGACGATGTGTTAGCTATGATTACAATAGATTTTTCTTATAATATTGTTTTAATTCAGTCATATTTTCATTCTAGTTTATATTGTTCGACACTCAATATTCAATATCCTATGCCCCCCGATGACACACGCTAGCGCTACTATGACGGCAAAATAAATATGAATTATGATATATTGATGTCAACGTGACAGCCACGTATTTGCATGACCAGACTATTGGTTATGTTTTACTACGACAATAAAGCACTATGTGTTTGCCCTGTGACGCCGAGTACAAGTTGAATATATGACTCGTTTGGTAATTCGAACTTTGAACTACTATAGACTTTTTGCCCTGACGCTGGCGTTCATGAGTTGGCAGCCTTGTCAAAATCAAGCATTCAGGCCCGATGACTTTAATGCTTCTGTCTCATCTCTATCACAGACCCTTGTATGGTGATTGTTTTATCAACATTCGGGTGGTCTGTAATCATTTAAATTAAGACTTCCTGTGTTTCATGCATAGTTACAACAATAAATACAATATATTCAGAATATGAAGTTGGTCTCATATAATCACATCATGTCACAATAAGTGTCAACATGAAATAAAATTGCTAATTACATACAGATTAAACATTGTCACTGCTTACTGCAAATGTATTACACTCGTTTCCAGTCCCTCGCCGCCACGCTATCCTGTGATCTGCTCTATTTTGTGCGGCGACCAGTAAACTTGCTTGGTCCGCGTTACGTTTCGCACAATACCGTTGGGGGCATCATAACAAACTGGAATACGGCAACCGGTAAGTACGACTGGGAATCAAGCAAACCTACAAACGTATGACATCGAGTACGACTGTCACTGTTTACAGCCAGGCTTTGGAGAAAGCTCACTTATCGTCACTACGAGCCATCATTTTTTGCAGTAATGGAACGGGAGATCGATGCGATACCACAGAAGGGTTTCTAACCAAAGTGTACGCGACGAACCAACGGTTTCGAGCGACTTTGCAACTGCGATAGGCCTGTACCAAACTTTCAATTTCCAGATCTGCAAAGGAGGGAAAGAAACAATAGTAAAACACTATCGAACATCATAAATACGGGGTGGTAAAGAGGAGCAGGGGTGTATCAATTTACGTTTAAGCTCACCAGCTTCTGTCACCATCGTATTCTTGTTGCGGCGACTCGAAAAAAGTTTCGATACACGTTTGTCGTCATTGTTACTGTCATCCCGATTCACTGGCAGGTTGGACGTCAGTACCGGAGTTTGCGTCAATAGTATATCGCAAAATGTCACTAGCACCGGATGCATGTGAGTTTCTTCGACCTTCAGAAAACCCATGTAAGCCGTAAAACCTACAAGAAAAACATGATTAACATTCACGAGCATGTGCATTGATATTTATCAAAATAATAACTCACAACGTATTAGAGAAATTCACTGCTGTCTCGCCAGTTGAACGAATATTTAGCGATGTGCTACAACCAATACAACATTTTAAGTTCAGAATATACCATAATATCTCGAAAAAACCGCTGATGACAATGGATTTTATATAAACAACAAAATATACTGATCGCATAGCCTAATGTTTTTTTCCAATTGAGTAGGCACTCTTTCCGAAAGATTTTATAGTTATAACAACTGCTTTTTCGTTTTACACTGTCAAATCTAAATGAGCTACGGCAAGCCTAAATGAGTCTCGATTGTATACAGCGCCACCAGTGGCTGTTCCCCGCTACTTCCGAGAAAATGCACCCTCTAGCGACGCCGCTGTGGTGTGGGTGGCAACATATTAGAATCTGGTGTGGAGATCTGGTGTGCAAATTAATGGAAAAGAATACAGCCATGAAGTTGATATTACTGACAAATAACTTCCAAGATAGCTTATTTATTTATATATATAGGTATATTTGAAGTATTTTCGGCAACGATAGTTGAAATCCCTTTGAGTAACTTGCCCGAAAATCAAACTTCGCGAGTTATACTGATTGGAAGCTGACATATTGTTTTGTGTATTAACTAAGCTATTTATTGTCTTCACTTCAATCAATCCCGTCCGTTGCATTTTGGTGGTATACTGCTTCGGATGCACGCTAAAGACAACTAACCTATGAAGTACGTAAAGTTCAATGTTCCAAATTTGCTCGCACGCGTTAGTAACGCGAGTAAAATAGTCGTCCTATAAACTCGAAAGACAGGGACCTAATGGCTATATAGAAAACAACTCAAGAGTCTGGCGTGCATCTCAGACTAATCTTAAAGTTGTGTTGCCGGCAAAATTTATTTTGAAGCATTTGACAAGTTAAGTAATATGTGTAAAATGCTATAAACCTAACATCTATGGTATTCGCAATATATCCACCTAGATAAAAAAATAAAAGCGCCTTTTTTAATTCGAGTTAGTCAAATAATGTACCTGAATCTATATGATAAACGGATCTATTTTTAAAAAATACGACTGTTTCATTGAATACACTCTTGCGCGTTCACTTCAAACTCAACCACGTTCGGGAAACTGTACTGATTGATCTACTGCTATTTTTAGGTGACAAGAACAGTACACGTACAACTATATCGCTACCCACAAAGAATGTTTATTTGAAAAATATACATAGTTACCTGTGTCAAAAGTTTCAAACCCTTTCATTAGTAAACATCTATCGGTTCGTCCCAAAAACAGTACGCCAAAAATCATAGATTTAAGAATACGGAATAAACACGAAAACAGCCCAAGTATAACATTGAAGAAAAAAAGGAGGTAGTTGACAATGTGAAACAGTCTCCTGTAATGAAAAAAAAAAGTTGAATTAACTGTAGATAATTGTTTGAAGAAAAAAAATGAGAAATTGCATAACACATAACAATACATAATGTACACATTTCATGAAAATATAAATT